ATATATATATATATATATATATATATATATATATATATATATATATATATATATATATATAACTACAGACGGTTCCGTTTCGGCCTTTTGGGCCTCATCAGTGTAGTGCTGATGAGCAGGATGAAAGTAACTGCTATTTACAGTTACCTTTGATGCCTCACGATTGTGGGACATCAAAACCATGCCAGAGCGCTCAAACTGCAAGCAGTGAGCGTGCGCAATACGTAAGCGGCATGGCTCATCCTGTAGAGCGCTCAATATGACCTAAAGGCCATAGAGCGATATCTAACTACAGACGGTTCCGTTTCGGCCTTTTGGGCCTCATCAGTGTTGACAGTAGTGCTGATGAGCAGGATGAAAGTAACTGCTATTTACAGTTACCTTTGATGCCTCACGATTGTGGGACATCAAAACCATGCCAGAGCGCTCAAACTGCAAGCAGTGAGCGTGCGCAATACGTAAGCGGCATGGCTCATCCTGTAGAGCGCTCAATATGACCTAAAGGCCATAGAGCGATATCTAACTACAGACGGTACCGTTTCGGCCTTATGGGCCTCATCAGTGTAGTGCTGATGAGCAGGATGAAAGTAACTGCTATTTACAGTTACCTTTGATGCCTATATATATATATATATATATATATATATATATATATATATATATATATATATATATATATATATATATATATATATATATATATATATATAATAATAACAGTCTTTATTCATACTCAAGAACACCCGTCTGTGAGTTTACATTATAAAAATATATAAGATAAAATTATTGATATCTATAAGGTAATAACTAGATATATACAGTTATGGATAAAAATATTAATAATGTTAAAAAGGTAAAGATTAAAATTGGTTAAACAAAGTTAAACAAACATCGATTTACAAAAGAACTTTTAAATCGCTCTGTTCTCACTAATGGAAGTTCAAACTCGTGTCCCCTTGGCCTAAGGTGTCTATTTAATTTATCTGGTAAAAGCTCCTGTAGTGCATTATCTTTATTATGTATTACTTTATCCCAAAGTTTCTTGTCCCTTTTTATGCTTATCTCCTTAATATTCAATTTTTCCGATATGTAACCATTTCTGTGAGCGCGATTGATGAATTTGTCTATTTGACTAATGTATTTATTGAAGTATGCGCCTCCCCAAAGTTCTATGCCGTAAGTGATTATAGGCATAATTAAAGTGTTAAACAGCATGTCCAGTTGTTTGATTGGGAAGCCATAGTATTTACAGACACGCATTATGTGCATTCTTGCACTGGCTTTTTTCAACATTTCATCAAAATGCAAATCCCACTTGGAAGGGAGATCCTGTAATGTAATTCCTAGAATCTTTAACCACGTCCTTCGTTTAATAAATGGAAAAGGATCAGGCAACAGCGTAGGGATATTTCTCCTAACAATCATTTCATACGTCTTTTCCATATTTAAGGACATTCGATTATTTTCAGACCATGTTTGTATACTGTCCACTTCGGCTTGGGATGTATCTCCGTTTTCATTCCCTGGTACTTCTAATGTCATGTCATCCGCGAACTTAACTAACTGGTTTATGGCGTTAACTGTTTTAATGTCATTCACCATGATCGAAAAGAGGACAGGACCCAGAACTGTTCCTTGGGGAACACCTCGATTAATGTTCAAGTATTCAGTTTCTATTCCATCAACCACTACCCTCTGTTTCCTATCCTCCAGAAAACTAATCAGCCAATTAGTCACATATGGGTTGATGGGGAGCTTCTTAAGCTTCTCACATAAAATATCGTGTGGAACGCTATCGAATGCTTTGCGAAAGTCAAAAGATAATACTCTGACATATTTTGCATCTCCTTCTAACCATCTTAACCATGTGTGTTGGCACTTAATCAGAGCCATAATCGAATTGTGACCTTCCTTGTATGCAAACTGATCTGAATCAATAGCGTGTCTTGTAACATGTGCTATCTCAGTTTTGAACACACTTCTTTCAAATAATCTCATTATAATATCTGTTAAAGAGATTGGTCTTAGTTGATTAAGAGAGTTTAAGATAGATTCTTTAGGTACTGGTACACAGCAAAAAATCATTTTCTTATTTTAAGAAAAAAAAAACTTGTTTTAAGAAAATTTTCTTGAAATAAGAAAATATTTTCTTGGGAGAATAACAAGAAAATTTTCTTAATAAGAAAATTTTCTTAAGAAAATTTTCTTAAGAAAATTTTTCTTATTAAGAAAATTTTCTTGAGAGAAATTCTTAAATTGAGAAAATATTTTCTCATTTTAAGAAAATATTTTCTCAAATCAAGAATTTTTTTTTCTTAATAAGAAAATCTTCTTGTTATTCTCCCAAGAAAAAAAATTCTTGAAATAAGAAAATTTTCTTAAAATAAGAAAATAATTTCTTATTTTAAGAAAATAATTTCTCAAAACAAGAAATTTTTCTTAAAATGAATTTTC